TATTGCTGGCAAACTAGGTTAAGGGAGTAAGTTAGTACAACAACAACAACCGGCGACTATTTCAGAAGAGAATCTGATTGGCTCAAGGAACATTGTTTACACGCGTTTGTTTCCTAAATACGTTGTTCCTCCTACACTAAAAGACTTCTGCCGTTGCACCCTTCTTGTCGTGTTCTTTCTTTGGGGACTCACGCAAGGCGGTGATCTCTCGGCCTGGGCTTCCGTTACAGCAGAGTTGACTATGACTGGCTGACGACGGCTAATAACCCAGAAACGGCAATCCTGGTCTCCCTTTTGTTTGCCGGCAATGCTAACAATGAAGTTGCTGTTCCCCCGAACTCGTTTTTCTTCTCCTTTCATTTACCCGTCGGGGGCTGTAATAGTAAAAACCGAAGGGAGAGTAACAATCTGAGATTTTCTAACTACCATGCAGTTGTTTGCCCAACCATTTATACATAAAATTCGTCCTCAACGGATGATGATGATGATGTATTCCATTTTTATGAAGACGGAAAGAGAGGGATGTTCGAACGAGGGGGGGGGGAGGATTGAAGACTTACCACGGAGGCGCTTCAGTTCATTGCCGTGAGTGAAGGACTGCAACATGCCTCTAGTGGAATCCGGAAGGTATGCGTAGAAGAGGAAAGCTATCGGCCTCGGCTTCACTGACTAAACAAAAACAAATGGAAGTTAGGACAGTTTGAAAGAAATAATTACGATTTAAATTTCTTGGAAAACCAGTAAACCCCCTGGAGCATAAGCACTCCACCTGCCATAACTCCGTTTTCTGTGTACAAAGGCGAAATTACTGTCGGATTGAAGAATGCAAAAGAACTCATAGCTTGTCCTGCCCCCCCCCTCTCCCATGATATGATAGACCTATTTTTATTTAATTATTTAATTAGTCCTGATGAAAAACAGTTTGTATGCGGTGACGTGAGGAGCCAACTGGTGTGCTAGCCTCGACGTTGTCAGAGCAACTAGTGTCGGGTTGCCGCACAGTCGACCCGGTAA